ATCAATCTGGAAAATCGACTGCTGAATCCATCAATCAAGCCCATCAACTACATCAGTCACTCCGTCCATCCATCCATCATCAATCATCCCTCCCTCCCTCCCTCCGTCCATCCATCCATCCATATATCCATCCATCCATCCATCAAGCATCCCTACATCCCTCCCTCCCTCCYTCCCCCCCTCCTTCCCTCCCTCCATCCGTCCATCCATCCATCCATCTGTCCATCAATTCCCTACTCTTTCCCTCCAATCATCGATCCTAACATCAATCAACCAATCAACCTACCAATTAACCTGTCCAATCAATCAATCAAATCAATCGATCAAATCAATCAATCAAATCAATCAATCAAATCAATCAATCAATCAATCAAACGTACAGTGTACTGAGTACAGTCCTCTCCTATCTTCGGAACTACAAAAGATAACTCCTTTCTCTCATACCATTCGGCCTTTTCTTAACCTAAATCTATGAACTGATCCATCCATCCATCCATCCAATCAATCAATCAATCGATCCATCCATTAGTCTAATATTAAGTCTACTTGAGGTACGCTGAGTTGATTGCTATACAGGTGGTTGAGCCAAGTCCTCCCCTCAGAGGAGCCGCGAAGAAAACTCCACACTGTGAATAAGAAAGCAAAGGAACAAAAAAGAAAACAAAAGTACACAACTCCACAGTCCTATACGGCTCGGGTTCTTCTTAACTTCAGCCGCCGCACATGGAGCAGCACATGGAGATGATCCAGGCGAAACATACTGTTATAATCTGGAGGATTATACACCCAGGCACAAGAAAGTTAATGGTTGACATCATCTGCCAGCTCCTGCTCAGACTGTCCAGGAACGCAGCCTTACAGCCATCGCAGTCGAAGCACTTCTCCTCTCCATTCCTGAACTACGAGCAATCCCGTTCGGCGAAAGGCGGAGACGAGGAAGAAGAAGCACTGGCAGGGATTTCGTAGATCGACGCGGAGGCGTTGATCACGGCGAAGCCGCACGAATCGGGCGGCTTACAGCACCCCGATTGAAGTCCGTTGAACTTCAAGTTGATGATCCCGGTTATGGGATCAGGCTTCTGCAGGGACAGTTTCTGGCACTCTGCCCTCGTCAGCAGGCACTGCTTGATTCCTTCCCACACGCTCTCGTCTCTAACGCGCTGCCGCATCCAGGAGGAGTAATCAGCCAACTTGAACTCCCTGTACCCCTTGCCCGCGACCAAGTGTCCACCATTGTCGGCGGTCGACACCATGTGACCGAAGATGCCGACTACATACAGAAGGAAGATTAGCACCCACACGGAGTACTGCCAGTTCCCCCATGTCTCCTCATCATCGGGGGAACGTCGATCGCAAGTGCCAGCTAGGAAGACACACAGCGCCCGCACGAAAAACGCCTCCGCTATAAATACATCGGCGGTTATGAGGAATGTGTCACAAGCTGCTGGCTTCCCCGAACACAGCCCTCCCCCACATAACCCTGTGAGCAGGTACACGGTGCCGCAAGAGAGGAAAACTGTGGCGAGCACCGACTGGCTGTCCTCCCGACCCATTCCAAACTGTCCACGTGTCAAACAACAAAAGGAGTCCACCCTGGCGTTCCAACTTCACCTAAAATAAAACCAGAACCAAAACATTAGCCCCGAAAACAGTCCCGGGCGCACAGCCACCCGGGAACGCGAAAACAGTCCCGTTACCTGTCCCCCAGCTGCTATTGGTCTCCGAGAACCCCTGAGTAGTCGATGCTTGGCCTCCGAAAGCCGCTGAGTAGTCGATGCTTGGCCTCCGACAGCCCCTGAGGAGTTGATGCTTGGCCTCCAAAAGCCGCTGAGCAGTCGAACTGCTGACGGCCCTTGGCAATCCAAGCGCTTGCGCTGATGCTTCGGCGCTGCATAAAATAAAATAAAAAAATTGGATCTATCAAAATTAGGGAAAAACTCCCGTTCCGGAAGAAATGCGGAGTGGGACCCCTCTATATAGTCTTAGTAGTGGTAGGAAGGTAGAGAAAGGCGAAAAAAGAATTTGAGAGAAGAACATAGAGTAGTTTTATAAAAACAAAGAAATTCGGAGTGGGACCTAAGCGGCAAGTCCCGTAGAGGTTGTTTTTTTTTTCCCTCTTGCTTTGCGCCGTGCCCCTCCAAGGCCCCACTTACCCTGAAAGCTCGATTTATTCGCGCCGTGCACCTCCGATGGGCCACTTATCCTGTCGTCTGAACTTTCTGGCAGGCCCCTGTCAGTGAGGGGTGCAGCTTTCCAGCATGCCCCTGTGGCGGCTGGTGGTTGGTGGCACTCGCGGCCGTTCCCATGGGCCTGGGAAGGCAGCTACCGGGGCATACTGGAAATTTCGAACGGGTACCGGTAGGGGCATAGTGAACATAATTCAGGTGCAAACAACACCAGGGTTTTTTCGGAAAATGTTGTTGAGGGTTTGTGACAGGGTAAGTCGGCCATCAGAGGGGCACACCGCAAAACATCAAACTTTCAGGGGCATATCGACAATTTACCCTCCTTTTAAACCAACCGTTCTCTTCAGATGTTAATGAATGGGTGCAACACATGGGTTTGTATTCATTCGTGTCAGAGGGGGCCTAAGACCCCCTGAGCTGTTGGTGGTTTAAACCATCAGTACCTCGCCCAGCTAAACAAACCGACGTGTATACCCAAGAAAAGAGGAAAAAAGGTGTCCGATACGAGGGGGGTCACGCGAATGTGCGTTAACGCAGCGACGTCAGCGGCGGTGGCGGCACCCAGTCGTCGGTAGTCGCGGCTGCGTAGGTGTGGCATGTGTTTCGGGTTCCTATCTTTCCTACGTGACACCTACCCTGCCAGGCACCATAGCTGTGTGAGAGCTATGGCGACAGTGCCCTGGCATAGCCTTGCCCTTGAGTAGGGAGGGAGTGCCTAGCACTCTTACGCCATGGTATCCTGGTAGCTCCTTACTCTGTACCTGACATCTATAACGACCTACAGACCTATCAGGATCGAGATACCAGAGGAGCCGCTCCTTTCTCAACACCCAATGGCCACGTTGTTTTGGATTGCCTCGGTCA